GCGTTGTGGCATGTGTCAGTGCTTTGCTCCTTTTGGAGGGGGGCCGAGGAACTTCCACTGTGTGGATTCACCAAATTTTGTTTATTCCTTCTTCCACTGGTGGACACCTGGGCTGTTTCTACTTCTTGACTATCACACATAATGATGCAATAAATGTTCATGTACAAGCTTCTGGGTTGCCATGTGTTCCCCGTTTTCCACTCTCTTGGGGGTACACGTAGGAGTGCTTCTATTCATTTATGTACTAATCTTATGATTTGAAAAGCAATGTGTTACAAAAATAAAACACAACAAGAACCAACAGGCTGGTAGGGTGTGAGTGAGGTGATTTACCAACAACTCCTTCCAATAACCGCAGGCTTCCTGAAGTAAAACAAAAACCAGAGCTAGAAGACTCTGGAAGAGTAAAATAAAAATTTAGTATGTTACTCACATGCAAGGAAATCCCTTTGTTAAGCAGAGGGAGAAAACAAAACAGCAAATGCATTTCTAAGAGCACAGGCAGGTGAAAAGTGTTACACAGTCTTTGAACCAGAATTAATGAGTTTCTCCTTCACCGGCAATTAAAAAAAAAAAAAGAAAAATCTATTGAGTAACTATTATGGGAAAGCACTGGAGGGCAAGGGAAGGGGGTGAAAAGAGAAAAGGACTCAAGAATGACTATAAAGGCAGACTGTAAAAAGCTGGAGATAACTGGAAATAAAAGCTGGGTCCCTTGGACCCAGAGCAGAAGGCCAGGCCAAACGAAGCAGATGATCTTTTACATATGTGGCGCTCTGGAGAAATCCTGGACTGAATGTGAGCTGAGGGTTTGAGGACAGAGGATCCCACCAGGCAGAGGGAAGGACCACAGAGGGAGGGGCAGGAACGATCAGGCCAAGGAAAGCAAGCAAGGAAGGAAGCTGTGGTTCATTCTGGAGAACAGAGGTCTGGGGACAGAGAGGCACAGGGGTCAGAGTGGTGTGGAGGGACAGAGGCTGAATGCAATGAGAAAGAGAGTACCTTTCACTGGGCTTTGAACAATGCTAAGGAACATGGGTCCAGAAAGAGAAGACAATCAGAGGTTAAGCTCCAGGTCAATACAGAGACAGCAGGAAGCAAAGTAAGCAAAGTACGTACAGAATAAAAAAGGTGCAGACTTCAGGCAGCACTGGGGAGCCCCAGGCTCCGTAAGGAATGCTGACCATAGTGTAGGGAGATTGGATAAATATGTCACAGGACGGGAAAACTGGGGCGGATAACAACCCTTTATTGTCTCTCCCTGACTCCAGCTTTCTTTTTAACTAGCGAAACTTAGTAACAAACATTTAAGCTGCTGGATGTGGTCCTTTAGGCAGACAGTGAAGAACATTTATTAAAGAAAAATCTATTGCCCGAGCGCCAGCCTCCAAACCTGAAGGTTGGTAGTTCAATTCCCAGCCAGGGCACATGCCTGAGAGGGGCAACTGATCAATGTTTCTCTCCCTTCTTCCCTTCCCCCCTCTCTAAAAATAAATAAATAAAATCTATGAAGTTGCTTAGGAAACACAAGGGACTGAGTCTGCAGCATTTCAACCCACAGCACTCCTTTCGTCCACGCTGGTGAGGACTCCACTCCCGACCACCGCCACCGGGGACACATGGCACCCTGTCTCCTCAGCCCCCAGTAAGAGGCCTTTGTTCCCAAACCCTAGTCTATTGCTGAGGATTAGTCCATTCCACACGAGTGTGCTTGACCATTGGGTTCACTGCCGTCTCAGTCCCTACACGTGGAAGTGACACACACCTTTGGAGTGGCACCAGTGTGGCAATACTTTGGTGCTGGTCGCCAGTTTCAACTCCTGAGGTGGCTGTAATACAACCCCTTCCTGGGACATCAAGAGACACAAGAGGAAGCCATCCTATTACAGGTACAAGGTTCGTGAGCCCAAGGCATCAAAAAAAAATAAATAAATAAAAAAGGCCAAAATTCAATAGTCAGTGGGTTTTAAAAAACTGAATTTATTGGGGTGACACTGGTTAACATTCCACAGGTTTCAGGTGCACAGTTCTGCAACAAGTCATCATCAACAGGTCAGTTTGGAAGTAAGGAAGGTTTATTGACAGAGGAGACCTAGCCTGAGAAGATGGGAGAACGAACTCTCAAATCTTTCTTCCTGGCTTAAATTTCTGAGACGTTCCTTTCAGCCTAGAAGGACTGGGACGCTGGGTGGAAAATGCATCCTGTTCCAGTTTCTAAGTATGTGTATCCGTAGCCTTCACGTCTTCTTCGAATGCTCCTTCAAACCCAAAGAGTCTGGTTTCTGCCCCTTCCTCTCTACTGACCTGGCTTCCTAGGAGCAGCCATTCTCAAAGCGTTTTCTTGCCACACGAGCAGACAGCCACTGTCAGGGGCAGCAGCAGCGTCTGGCCTCTACCTGCACGCCCCACTGCTTTCTCTTCCCCTGGAAATACATTATAATGAAAAACAAGACAGATCATTCATAAAGGGGCTGCTTCACCTCTTACTGTGAGACAACGCACCATGGACTGAGGTCCAGCAACACCAGGGTCACCGCAAGGAGTAGGTCTGCTCCCGAATCCACCCGGCTTTCTCATTCTTTATTGCCCGTGACACCACGCTTGACCATTTCCTTCTTAAAATCTCTGGCCAAAGCACCTGTGGAACTTTTTGCTACTTCCTTCTCCTTTGAAAGGGGAAAGGAAGTACATAACCGTCTCTATGATCTACATACATCACCTCCCCATTCCACGTGGTAACTGGCAGGCTCAGAGGATTAAGCAGGGGGCCTTGAGTCCCACAGCTACCAGAAGGCTGGCTGACCCCAGGTGTGGCAGGCTCTTTTTCTGGGTGTTTTTGTCTCACTGTGATCTCTAAGCACATCCCCCAGAACCTGTTCCTGGCCCTCATTAGTTTACGCTGACTTCGGCGATCACATTTACCTAATCACCTGTGTGGCAATGACTCCCAAGTCCTCACATCTGAACCTGCCCCTGTCCGTGCTCCAGGGCTGCATGGACCTAGCCTGCTGGACTTCTCCAGCCTCCTGCCTGTGCTCCCTCGGCTGGCCTGGTGTTGGTCAGTTATGAGGGGAGAGGGAAGAAGCTCTAGGGCAGATGACAAGGGTCAGAAAACGAGGTAGACCCCAGATGACAATGGGAGGTTTGGAGGCAGCAGGGGAGGGCAGAACAGATACTTGCAGTCCTCACGGGAAGAAGCAATATCCTTCTATTGTTTCGATAATTTCAAGTCCACACTCTGAGCTTGGAGGTCTTGATGACTAATAGTTTAAACAGCATAATCCCCAGAAACCACGCCACACACGCACCTGCGGCCTCCACCAGTCTCTCCCGGGGCTGGGGAGGGACCGCACAAAGGGTTTAGCACATTTTGGTTTTCAGACAACTAGCTGCTGAAGATACTGTTAAAGATGTGTATTTTTGTTTTTGGAACATGTGGCATTCATAATTTTAAACTGTCTTGTGGGTATTTTTTTTTTTTAGGCAAAGGACTCAATGAAAAGAATATCCTTGCAGCTCTGTAGAAATTACACTTCGCCATTTCTTCTTTCCAACAAAATGAAATTGACATAGTCGAACTATATCAGGTGAAAAGGATAAACAATAATTCAAACAATATACCCTAGTCAACTTCAGAAGGAAATGTGTGAACTATTTTCATCTGTGTCTCATGGCTCATACTAACCTTCTCTATCAAACAGTGCATGCTAAGCATTTCACCTTAAACTAGCTTGTTCTGCAGGTTTGAATCTGGTTTTGTAGAACCATGTTTAAGAGGTGCAGTATAGGTGGTTATTAAAAATACAGATTTTAAAATGTGTCAGGGTTTACAGAACAAGTGGCAAAGCTGCAGGAGGCAGAACTGCCCATGTGGTCTTGTGGTGTGAGGCTGGACAGCAGGACGGACTCACAGAAAGGGGCCACTCCCAGCTCTGTGGGCAGCTGTGTGCCTCACCCTTGAGATCATAACTCTCACAGTGGCCCTCTCCGCTTCTTTACTTTTAAGGGCGAGGGCTCCTACACTCAAGTTTCTGTTAATCATTTAACCATCAGGGTTAGAAGTATACTTTACAAGCTAGAAGAATGAGCTCAATGACTGGGTCAAGGTGGATGAGTGGAACCATGGCCAGACCTGTCAGAGTCTCCCCACACCCCTTCCGTGAGGCTGGCTCTCCAGTTCAGAGTATTCTTTTTATAAGAAAGAAAGAATATTTATTTATTTTTAGAGAAAGGGGAAGGGAGGGAAAAAGAGAGGGACAGCAACATCAATGTGTGAGATACATTAATCAGTTGCCTCTCTTGTGGCCCCAGTTGGGGACCTGCCCTGAACCCCAGGCATGGGCCCTGACTGGGAATCGAATCGGCGACCTTTTGGTTTGCAGGCCAGCACTCAATCCACTGAGCCACACCAGCCAGGGCAAGAGTACACTTATTTCACAGGCTGCTGGTAAGGCAGACCTGGGAGTGCCTCTAGCTCTGGAAGAGTCTGGCGCTGGTCAGCAAGTGGGGTGCAGCTCAGTCTACCTGGCATCTAGGTCTTCCGCAGGAACGCTGTTCCGCTCTTCTCCTTGGGTCTGCCTTTCCCAGCTATTGGAGCTGAGTCGAGGATGTGACCCTGGTGAGGGGCAGCTGAAGGGACCAATGGGTCTTTTCCAAATGTCTTATGAGCTAGTGCTGCTCAGGTCTGTCTGCACAGCAAACAATGGGCGGAGCTCAGGCCCCACCCCAGAGTAATTAAACCAGCACCTCCCCGGGCAGGCCTCCGGCACCCATCTTTAAAAAAGAGCTGTCTGGGTAATTCTAACATGCAAACAATGTCGGAAAGCCCAACTTCGCTGTCCGTCTTCCTGTGGCACAGGTAAAAGGGAAGATTTCAAAAATCGACACTTCACAGAATTGTTCTAATAATTCTGATGCAAACAGTGGAACACATAAGATGATTTTTTAAAATGTAAAATAAAAGACAGGAGACAAAAATACATTATTGCTAATGTTTTGATTGTATTCAAATTTTTATTTTTTGAACAAAAAACTTAAGGACAATGATTTTAAATAATAAAACATGATATATTCGGATACTTTTTAAAAGACAGTTGACTAAATTTTGGACTTCTACAGTTCTGTTGTGATGCTTTCTTCAACATTTATATTATTCTTACCATTTTATCAGCACTCTAAACTTGCTAAACAAACAAAAAAAATCACTCTGTCTGCTTAAGTGAAGCTTCACTTTAAGGAAATACTCCACTACCACATAAAACACACATACAGAACAGTCATTGTTTTTAATATAGTTACAAAACACAAGAAGTCTGTCCAGCCATTTCAGTTCTGTTGTCCCCTTGCCCATACTGCACTCAGCAAAAAGCTAAGAAATAAGCAAGATTCACTTCAGCAGTGCAAAGGATGGCATCAACCAAACTTCATGAAACAAACCAACACATGACAAACATGGTCAGCAAAACACAACTGGTGGGATAGTGATTTAAAAACAGAAACACAAAGTGGGTCACAACTAGACTGGTTCTCACTGTGCAACTCTCCTGAGGGAACAATACTACCCATTTCACGTAGGAAGGACTACGCATCGAAGCCTTTGTTCATGGAGAAGATGCCCTTCAAACAAATTCATCATAAGGCAAAGGAAAAAAAAAAAAGAGAGAGTGAAGCAGTTTGGCCCAGAGAAAAGCTTATTGTAGGATGTGTATACACAGTATATACACCTTTATAGGTATATTACAATTTAACCCATGTAAATAGTCATTCAACAGTTAAATGAGTTGGCTCGTTGGCTCAGTGCAGTGAAAAAGTGTTCATTTTCTATAAATATGTAGTTATTGCTAATATGCTACACATCATGGGTGGACACGGAAACAGTCAGAACTCAGGACTCAAGCTGCCACATTGCCAAGGTCAGCCCGCAGCAGGCGTTCATGTGGACAACATGCCAGCCAATCCTAAAGGAAAAGCAAAGGTGCCACTACAAAAAGAGGAAAAAAAAACAGAAAAAGAAAAAGAAAGGCTTATGCACGGTCCCTTACATATTTACCTACTTTTTTAAAAACAAAAAACAAGTCCAGTTCACCACAAGTTGAGCACATCCTGACAAGCAAGTCCAGCGGCCCGAGATGGGGCAGGAAGAGCAAAAACACAGCATGCATTTACAACAGCGCTGATCTAGTCTATTTTGTCATACAAACTGGAATACAAAAATCCAATTTAAATAAGACTAGACTAAACGTAATCATAAAAAACAAAAACAAAAACACCAACCAGAAGAACAAACAAAACCCCCCCCACACACAGTAGACTTAGTTTGATACTGATTTTTTTTTTAAGAGTAAAACTCTTCCTGTTCCCTCTTAATACCCTACTGCAATTTATTTATTGGTGGCTAGAATAGTTACTTACTTAAAAAAGATATTAAATACCTGTATCATGAAATTACATTCTTTTTAACAATAAGACATACTGTGTAAGAAAATAGCTCATGTGTGAAATGTGTCTGAAATGCATTTTTCCTCACAACTATCAAAACATTCACTCACACTAAAACAAAACCACCCCAACCCCCCCGCCCCCCTCAAAAAAAAAAAGTTAAGGAAAGACAGGGTGGGTCAGGCAAGGAGCAGGGAAGGAAAGGTTTACCAGCACAGTGATTAACAATGGTTCAAGACAGAACCGACAAGAGTTGGTCAAGAAGATGCCTTCGATACATGGCTGTGATTAAAAACCAAACTCAACCCCTTTGGGTTCATTGCAGTGAGACCAAAACAATCTCCCTCACAGATTCACAGAAACACTAGACTCCGGCTCTTTTGTTATTATTATTATTATTATTTTTAAAGTTTTTGTTTGTTTTTGCAAGGCTTAGCTACCTTGTTACAATTTATATCTGCTCTGCAACAACTACGAGAGGTAGGCATAAAGCATGAAAAAGTTTCCTGTTAGTACCTCACCAGGGATTGTCCACTGCGTACCACCGCTCCCTTTAGACGGGAACAGCGACTGCCGTCCAGTCTCTCCCACACCCTCAGACGGAGCTGCCACCATCCCATAAATGTCCTAAAAGAGTGTACTCACACATAAGAAACTTTCTCTACTGAAGGATACTGTCAGTGTTTGTTGCAGAGCGTGTATATATATATATACAGATATATGTATATATGTGTATACACATATATACATATATTTATTTAAAAAAACAACAACAAAAACCAAACCCAGGTTCCTAGAACCAATTCTTTTGAGTCTCTACTTCCACAAAATAAAGTATACCATTTGGCCAAGACTACAGATGGGTGTTTCGGTGTTTTTTTTTCTCTTTTCACAGATGCAAGCGCCATGCAAAATAAATTAAAGAGCAGAGGCCAACACATACACGTGATAAAAACTACTGAAGGCAGGTCTTTAAGAGCATTTCTATAAACGTGACTCGTCACACATGTCCTGCGCCCTGCGTGCACAGTCACCAAGCTGCCGTCATACGTCCAGGATCTCCTCGGCTGTGCCCCCGCACCGCAGCCTGTAGCGCCCAGTTCTCCAGCTTATCGTAGGGTCCCATAATGCTGACAGAAAAATATATATAGTCATGGATTCACGGATGAACCAAGCCACTGCATAATCAAGTTTTGAAAAACACAGTGTGCCACCCTAGGAATAAAAAAAAAAAAAAAAGAAGAAAAGAATTGATATGTATTAGGCTGAAGACACAGTTGAAAAATTAATATTTTTTATCCATTCTTTTAAGTACACTCATAAAATCAAGTCTGTTTCTGTAGATAATTTAACTATCATGCTATATTATACTGGTAAAGAAAATGTTAATTATGAGTAGATAAAAAGCATAAAAAATTGCTAGCCTAATATATGCTGAGTTTGAATACGTTTGGATTTGTTACCACCGTTTTTTTGGAGTCTTAATAAAAGTGACTGAATAACCAACTGAAAGTTGAAAATCAAGTTAGGTTTGGTGTCCACATTCTGCTAACCAAAGGAATGTTTAAACCTGATATTAACCTTCAATGGGAAGCTAAAGAATGGCTCAGACAGATTTTCTTTTGACCTTTTTGAAATTAAAAGTTTTAGTTCCAGCAAATGACTGCTAACCTTTTCATGCCTAGTCACATACCTGGACACCCCTGAGTTGAATGTAGTCAAATATAAACCATGCCAGGCAATGACACATGAAAAATACCATAATATCCCATCTGAACACATGGTGAGCTGCCCATCCAATAATTAAACTGGCAACAAAGCATTCCGAAATCGGCTCACAAATTATTGTAGCAGGAAGCATGTTGATTCGTAATTTGGTCCACCTTAAAAAAAAAAGTATTTTCTTTAAACAACAGCCTGGTTATAAGAACTAACCAATTTTCCCCCCAAATGGTCAGCTCTTTACCCTGTTATAGAAAGGCTCATCTCTTTAAAGAGTATTTAAGGCCTCTCTCTTTTATGTTTATTCAGAACGTCAAGGAAAAAAAGTCTAGAAATTTCACTTGCACAGTCTATACGCTGATGAATAAAGATTATAAAATTCAAAGTGCAGAAAGTGAGAAAACAGAGATGAGAGTTTAAAAAAAATCTAAGTCTCAACATCGCTTTTTTGAATGCTTTCACTGTTAATAAAGAAGCTAAACTTTCTTTTTGGGAACTGAACAACATCTGACTTTCAGATTCTTTTTTTTAAGCCAAGTTATACTACCTAAAAAGTACTCACTCCCCTTCCCTTCTTTTTTTTAACAAAGTAGGAAAAGCAGAAAGCTGCTGACTCACCTGATCATTCTGGACTGAAACTGAGAAATTGAGTATGAGCCAGAGTTCTGCATGGCGACTTGCGTGGACATCGCAAACCTCCAACCTCTGAAAAGGAAGACATGATAGAATGAGCTGCGGCGATGCACCCACGCAAGCGTGACCAGCTACACAGTCACTCATCGCTGTGAAGAGCAATCAGGGTGGGCCTCGTCCTCAGGGTGAGCAACCAACCTACCTAGGGCCCATCATACTTACGGAGGCTTCGGCAACTGCGGAGGCCGCTCACAGTGCCATTTAAGAGAGGTGGGAAGAAACCACAACCCTTCAGTTTACCATTTAAAGAACTTAAAATACAGGTATTCTCAAGGGCAGGGGTTCTGTATTTAGTCATTTAGTCTCTGTCACTACTAACCAAAATGAGGGGGCAGGGCAATAGGTATGAATATTCAACAAGAAATGTAGTAACTGAAAGAAACACTGCAGAAACACTATGAAACCATAAACTGCATGAACGCCATTCAGGAGAGCGTTTTCAAAACACCCTTCAACCCCCCCCCCCCACCCCGGTTCCCTTTCCCATCAGGTCTGAACACCGGTCTTGGGGGTCGTAAAAGGAAGGAAAGTAACAATGAAGCTGGCCTCGCAGCTCTGTAGTGTGTGGGCTCGTTTCAAACAAGGTGAAAAAACAAAAAAAAAACCCTTCAATTTTCAAGATCACATCTTTAGTAAATTACCACACAAGGCAAGTGAACACTATGATTTTGTGGTAGAAAAATGTTAAGTCAACAGTGTGAACCATTTGGTGGCTTCCTAGCAATATCCAAAATAATCTGAAAATTTCAAAATTTGAAATGATATTCTTTAAATGTTCACCTGCTGGCTTATTTACACCCATAATAAAGATTCACAATCACAGGGACACTTCCTTCTAATCACTTCAAACCACACCGACCTGATGAGTGTGGATGAAGCGGCACATTTATTTGCTTCATTAGTACAACATGATCTATGGACAATTAATAGAAATTACTTTCTAAAAATATTAACCTATTCTGTATTCACTGGCCAAAAATAAAATGAGAAAGCCCTTAAATCACGGGTTGAACAAACAGAATAAACCAATCAAAGGTAGGTACTAAATATATGGTAGCCTAATGTAATTTAGTTTTCTTACCGGTCAGCTATTGCTTTGGCCATAAAGTAATCTTCAGCAATGTATTGAGCAAAAGCTATAAGCCCTCCTGCTTGATCTAACACATCCTTTCTCATTAAACAAGACATCCCTGTTACACATTTGAAACCGGTTACATTGGCAGAGATATAGGATCTCGGATGAGAAGTTCCAAAATATACCTGCCAAAAAACAAAAAACAAAACCCCAAAACATATGTGTTATACAGTTAGAATTTTAGGTCTGGTCTATACAGTAAGAGTTTAGGTGTTTATAAACTCTTATTGCTAATGAATTTAAGAATGATTGAGTGAAAATTTTATACATCTTACATAAACCGCCTGAATAAAAATTGGAACTCAATAGTGTTTACAAGTATGTACCAGGCAGTCAGTGATCCATTTGGTTGACCACTCTTGTTATTATCCTATTATTAGTTCCAGGGAAAAGAATATTCTATTTAAAAATAAATATTATCTTCCCTAAAACTGCAAGATTCAAAGACTTACCCAAATAAAACTTAACTTAGATATAAAATAAGACAGGTAAAATATCACTCATTGTCACATAGAATATTAACAAACATTTCACATCCTGCTTTCATAATATTCATGTGTCTGTATGTGTGTGTATATATACACATATGTGCATGCAAACATATACGAACACCACCTACAGTTTTGTCAACCTAAAGGACAATCATATTTCTTAACTCCTTTTCTTGTATCCTTTTGTAGCTGGCTATTTCCTGTCCCTGATCACCGGGCTTTATCTCGGTTGGAACTGTGTCTCCCATTTTACTGCCCTTCTGCTAGATATGCTTTGAAGTCATGAGACATGCAAGCTGCTAAATTAATGGTAGAATAAGATGGTCACTGCCCTAATTATTAGACATATAACCCTACTTACTATTTGCATCTTAAATATGCTGCCTTTTCCAATTAGCTTGAGATAGAAAGCAGTGATCTTTCTCCACGGCAAGAGTTATACACACAGCATGGAGTATGAGAATTACCAGGGAAATTAATAATGTGATTCTTGCTGCCTAGCCCATGTCTGGACTGTCATAAAGCCTTTCTAGTACTGAATTGAGCCACACTTCTAAGACCAGAAACACACATCTTACACAGTTATTAAGTGAGGTCTGAGAAATGAGGTGGGAACTAGGGACTTGCTGGAGGCCCCAAAAACCTCTTCACGGAGTAATTCCTCTGGCCTATGTCCATTCATTCTGAGTACGGAAGATTAAACCTAAACTATGGGGGTGGGTGCAATGCGGAAGTATGCTTATCACTGACACATAGATCAATCTGGATATTTCTAAAACAAAAACCCAAGGTGGCACACCAGAATTAAAAGTATTTTATTTTAAAGTAACTACCCAGAATTCCCTTTACTAAACAGTCTGATTAGCTGTCCAAAATGCCATCCCAACTCTCAGAATGGTCAAGCTCCTGGGCAACTGGGAATCTGCTAGCAAGAATATTGTTTACAACCACCGCACTCACCTGCTCCAATGTCGCGGCAAAGCCCTGTCTGTCTGCTACGTAAGGCAGCCCGTGGACCAGGCCTACTTTCTCTGTCATTTGGTTAACCATGTCAGTGAGGGTGTCCGGGAGCACTACATGAAGACAACAAAAAGTGGCCAGGGAGACAGAGAAAATAATTCTTTTTTGTGAAATGCTCACTCGTGTACAATAGATTTGACGAGTTGTTATTAAATTATTTTAAAAAATGAAATCCTTTTTCACATTGGGATCTAATTAAGTGAATCTTGATCACACCCCTCTGAGCAGAATGCACAACTTCAAAAAGGCCTAACTTATGATAAGCTAAGTCACTCCATACACGTGGAGGCCAGCAGGTACCTAATGTGGAGCAGGGGCAGGATATACCCTGAAAACCTCACTGCGCCCCTTTCGGACTCTCCAAACCGGAGTAGCAGACAATGTGTCCAGTCAAAGCGGCAGGGGCAGAGGTCAAAGGACCTCAGCTCTTTGGCCATCTCCTCCACTCTCTACCACAGGACACAGGCACTTTCTTGGAGAGTATGAGAGATCCTATGTCATAAAACTGCTAACAGGACTCGACTAGGATTATATCTGACACAGATTTGTGCACTGAAAACATAACAAATACACAACCATATATAACTTTAGACAGCAAATGGGATGAACGCGGTCTCTGATGGAGAGGTAAGGATCCTGATTAATTAGGAGTGCCACACTTCTGTCAATTTTCAAATCCATGTTTTGAGTCAATAAAAAATGTAAATCATTGTCCTGCCTTCAAAAAGCAAACATCTCAGAGTTTACATTATTTCATTTTTATGTTCTTCAAGCCTTTAAGAAATAAATCTGTTAGAGAAAAATGTGTTGGGACCTTCAAGATGCATGTTCTATTGAGTGGTTCTGAACTGCTGCTGCCCAGGGGGACGCCCGGCACCATCTAGAAATATTTCTGGTTGTCACACTGAGGGGGTGCGCACACCATCTCGCGGGTGCTAAACACCTGGCAGGACCACCTCAGCAACAAAGGATTATCCAGCCCAAAATGTCAACAGCACTGAGGTTGAGAAACTTGAGCTAATAAGAATAGAATATTACAGAATACTGAAATAACTGTAAGTATAAACACTTAAAAACACCTATTAAAGTTTAAGTATACAAAAGGCTTCCTGTTAGAATCATCTAAGTAAAAGGCCATACATGTGTTCTCGGAAAATGCTTGCTTACTAATTTCTATTCCTTTCTGTGAGATAGTATGTGTGCCACAAATAGACTAAAATAAAACGTGTCATGTTAACAAGAAAAAATTTATACCTCTGAAAATGCTTACAAAACGTATAATGAACCATGACTATATATTTTTTTAGTGGTTGAAATTTTCTCTTCAAAATGAAAACATTTTCATAGACGTAACATCTCGGTTAGCACAAAAGTCAAAATCTTAGTATAACTTATTACCATGAAATAATGATGAAGTGAATTATTTCATTAGGCAAACAAAAAGGAATGATACATTTATTTTCATACTGCTTTTAGCATTTTATCAGCAAATGAAGAGTTTTATAAAATAAATAAGAAAAACCTCACCTCTTATTCCACTATCACAAATCCAGATGAGATCATATTTTGCAACTTCATATCCTGGCATTAAATTATTAATTTTGGGATTAATGCCAACCTTTTTGCCACCTAAAATTTTAAAGGTACAGCAGTGAAAAATTCATGCAACACTGAAAATATTTTCTAGTATACAGATACATGGTAGAGATGTGAAGTGTATTTGCATATTTAATAACTGAAATGAACATACTTTAACATTATGGCTTACATTCCTTATTCACAAAAATATATTTAAGAAAAATAGCTCATTGTCAAAAAAGAATTATCTCATTTATCTTTAAAAATGTATTAGGTTCAGTTTTCTAATTCTTAAGGGTTTGTATTGAGTCAGCATAAATCATTATTTAATGGAAAATATACCTCTATATAAGTATTTAGAATAAGCCTCCAAGCTTTTGGAGAAATACTCTTTTTTGAAGCAAAATAAAAGTGAATTCTATGACAAACTACCAATTACAGTGAATGAAATGCAAAAAAGACCACACAGTGAAAATATTAAAGAAGCAGAAATAATAGAATCATATATGATTGATGAATTACACAGAATTTGGGGTTATATTTCTTTATTTTGTTAATCCCGGGTATAAAAAAATCCCTTTGTTTTCATAACTTAAGTATTGAAAACAGGTGTTATAGGGATATAACACCTTTTGCTACTCCACCAAACATGCATGAAGCAAACATGCCAATAACTTCAATGGGTGGCTCACACCTTCATCTATAGTTTAAAGCAAAGATTACTGCCACCTAACACTATTAAAGCAAAAATAGTTACTGTAGAATTTGTAACTCACCTATAAACAATCTGGCATCAACATTTGGATATTTTCCAAGAAGCTTCTTACATACGTCAATGGCTGGATCGTCATGGTCTTGTACACAAAGGAGCACTTCATACTAGCCAAAGGACACATTACATGTAAATTAACCTCCTTTACGAAAAAAAGCGCTTGTTAAGTCTTTACTGACTGATCAAAAAGCATTAAGGTTCTGGCTGGTATGGCTCAGTGGGCTGGAGCATCATCCTGTAAATTGAACGGTTGCAGGTTCGATTCCTGGTCAGGGAACATGCCTGGGTTGTGGGTTTCATACCCAGGCAGGGTGTGTGTGAGAGGCAACCGATCAATTTTTCTCTCTCATGTCACTGTTTCTCACCCGCCTCCCATCAAAACAAAACCAAAACCAAAAACAAACCAATAAAAAACAGCATTAAGAAAAAGAAGCATTTGTACACAAGAAGTTTAAAAGTTAAGAGAATACAAATAATGAATGCAAACACATATGATATTAAATGCTGGCTGCAAATCAGAGCCACTTCTTCAGAACAGGCACCTGGTTTGCAAGCCGAAGTGATACTGAGCAGATTGGTGGCACCCACAGCTGAAGTCTTGCCATGCCCTGATAGGCACGGCCTAGCAATTAAATCGGCTCTCAGGCTTCTCCGTGCCCTTCATCCCTGCAGGTTTACTAAATGTTCACACGGGGCCCAGCAGAGTAAAAAGCAACGTGGAAAGCAAAATAAATACATTCTCTAGAACCTTGTCTCTGAACTTATTATTCCATGAAGGTGCAATAAGTCACATATTGAATCCCAATATGATCAATTTAAAGGGCTTTGCTAAACTCTCCATGTGAAAAAGACGAAGTGAGATTAGATTTTTTTTCTCCTGTTGTACAGTACTTTTGGGAAATAAAACAGAACTGGATTTGACTCAAAATGTGTCATCTGGAAAAGCATGCTTAGCCTTTTAACTATGAATATACTCAGGATATATGGAAATACCAGAATACACACATGTGTGTATACATGCATGCATGGGTTTATATGTGTACACATGTATGCAAACATATACATACATGGGTGTGTGTATGTATGTTTTTTAGCCCAGTGCTATGTTTACTCTTTGATAGTAAATTAAAAATGTCATTTCTCAGCACTTAACTGGCTGTGTCCAAGTTACCCCTGCATATTTATTATACTTTAAAAAGAGTCTAGGACTGAACCCCAAGATTATACTTTTGAATCAACCTCTGGAGCGGCTCTGACATGTAACCAGGTTTACAAAATGTTGAGCTCTAAGTTACATTGAGTAAACTAAATTGTAAAAAAAATGTTTGCTTTCATATACAAAGATGCCACTTTGGTATTTTGTGGATATGTATTCTAAGTAGCAATTTTTTCCCCAAAAGTGATAAATGCATGCTGACTCAGTCAGTGACAAATTTCCTACTAACCCTCTTTCTAAAATAGGTTGGACATTTTTAAGCCAAAGAGGAAGGTTAATTATCTCAACGAAAAAAATAACACAGCTATCTGCTGTAAAAAGTAAACAGCTAAGGATACAACATTTAAAATGTCTAACATGCAGACGGGGGCTAACTTGGGTAAAGAGAAGGTTTATTTTATTTACTTCCATTAATAAGCACACACAAATAAAAAACGGGAATAAAATGTTTACAGTGCCCCTGAGCACGATAATTACTGTTTGTCTAATGTATCGTGTCTCAGCAAAAACTGGCAGTTTAGAGATTAGCGATTTGAGCACAAAAAGAGGACAAAGGTCCATGAAGAAGATAATGAGTTAAGGTTTTTTCAAGTGAAGAAAAGGTTTTCTTGTATTCAACCCAATTTTCTACCTTTAACACTGACGGCCCAAATTGCTGCTCCAGAGGTGTCAAGACCAATTTTACAGCTACCAAGTTTCCCGAGATGAGATGAAAATCCGAGAAGTGGAAGGGCCGTGCTACTGCTGCACCCCTGAAATTTCCCAGAGAGCTGACTCTGAGTCCTATAAAGTGTCTGCTCTCACCCCAACTTGACTTTTAAAACAATGTTTGGGTGAGCAGTCAGAAGGCATTGACCTTAACAATGAAGATTAGAAAGGTTAAGTGACTTTCTGAAGGGTAAGAGTAACGACTAGCTTTCCTACTATCGTGAGCTGCTCACCAGGCTTGCTCTAAAGAGTTCCTAGTTTTTCCAAACATAGCAGTTTCTTTGATGTTTTTATAATTTATCCTGTTTTGCAGGTATGAGTGAATGAATATAGTGAAAGAAAATGATTATGGGCAGTACAATTTCATAAAACAATTAAAAAGCTAATCTTAGCCTTTTCCCACAGCAGAAAACTGTCAAATGTAGTACCAGAAATGCACTCAATGGAAAGGAAAAATGTTATATGAGGTTATGGCTAAAATTTTTGAGAAGTATATTGTGTTAATGTAAGTAAGGGAATATGTATAGTTTACCTTTATCCAAGTTCAAGGTTTAAAGTTTTTGTTTTTATTGATTACACCCCTTAAACTTAATTAAAAACAAAAACAAAAAACCACACTTCTGATTAGCCTTGGTGCAAACAAAACTCAATACACATTACCAAAAAAATGTTCAGACCTGTATCACACGATACATAACTTTCATTTACTTGTTTCTGATATTGAAAATTATACCAAACGGTACACAGCATGTTAAGTGTTTTCTAAAGTATGAGATTGCAACCAGGAATCTTCACTTTTCAGCTTTGATAACCATCCTCGTGTCTTCACAGTTTGAGCCAACATTTTATTTGCTAAGCCTCCTCTCTGTATTTGAATACTGAATAGTTAAATCACTCCAACTATGCCACCACTGGTGAAACACAGATGTTAAATTGGTTAAAGACTTCTTTAGCTAAAACAAAAATAATTTTTCCGATGTTTTATACTATCTAAAGGACTAGGCACAAATACATATGTTCAAAAACAGTGTCCATTAAAAATATTACACTTTGTAAGTATCTCAAGAAAACATATACTTCCTAAATCTGAAAGGGGTGTAAGGTGTAGAAGTTCCACTGTAAACGAAGACAGCATGAACACACAACATCTAGAGATGAGCCTCATGGCACCGAAGGTGAGAAGGTCGGCCTCTGTCCAATCTTGGCCACACTGACCAATGTTCCCTTTATTTTCCAAACAGTGAGATGACTGACTAAAAGGCTGAGACAAAGAAGAGGGTGGGTGGGTGGGTGGGTGCACAGAAAACCCACAAACTGTGATTCAGCCCTTTGATATTTAAGAATTGAATATCAGAAACTGAAATAATAATGAATGTTACTTTTTTGTTTTTGAATAAAGTAATACGAATAAAAATATTAGGTTTAGATGTATAATATCAGAAAAAAATTTCCTCAGTGATTCAATCCTATAGATATTAGGAATATAAAGTTTTTACTATACTAAACAACAAAATATCCTCTTAAAGTAGAAAAGTATTTTACTATATTAATCAATTACTTTGCATGTTGAGTAGGAGTATCTTTAATTATTTGTAAAAAACTAAACGTCATGTTTACAGAAAAATCTTAGGGTGACATTTGGGTCACAGCAGAATATAAATTCTGTGACAAAACGGACTTAGACCCTGAATGCCCACAACATTCTCTGGCACAGAGGAGGCAATGAATATATTTGTCCTAGGATAATCTTTGAGTGAAAGACAGATGCCAGGCAGAAAATGTTTTGTAAGAAAACTGCTCTGAATTTAAAGTTTCAACAATATTAAATACTTAGCTACTTTTAAGAATTAGGTAGTTTACAATGGGCAAAAACTAAAATCTTTTCCACTAAGACCAGGAACAAGACAAGGTTGTCTACTTTCACCACTTCTATTCTAGTATTGGAAGTTTTAGCCACAGACAAGAAAAAGAAATAAAAAGCATCCAAATTGGAAAGGAGGAAACAAAACTGTCACTGCTTGCAGATGACATGATAGTGTACATGGAAAATTCTATAGACTCCACCAAAAAACTGCTCAACCTAATACATGAATTTGGCAAAACAACGGGATATAAAGTCAATATCCAGAAATCAAAGGCATTTTTGTATGAAAATGCCTAACAATGAAACAGCAGAAGCAGAAATCAAGAAAAAAATTCCCATTCGATATAGCAAAAACAAAAATAAAATATCTGGGAATAAACCTAACCAAGGAGGTAAAAGACCTGTGTACAGAAAACTACACAACACTGAAGAAAGAAATCAAGGAAGACACAAACAAATGGAAACATATACTGTGTTCATGGATTGGAAGAATTAACCTCATCAAAATGTCCATACTACCCAAAGCAATTTACAGGTTCAATGCAATACCTATTAAAGTACCAATGACATATTTCACAGACATAGAACAAACACTTCAAAAATTTATATGGAACCATAAACGACCCCGAATAGCAGCTGCAATTTTGAGAAAGAAGAACAAAGCAGGAGGGATCACAATACCTGATATCAAATTGTATTACAAGGCCATTGTAATCAAAACAGCCTGGTACTGGCATAAAAACAGTCACATAGACCAATGGAACAGAACAGAGAGCCCAGAAATAAACCCAAGTCTCTATGAGCAACTAATATTCGACAAACGGGGCAGTAACATAAAATGGAGTAAAAATAGCCTCTTCAACAAATGGTGTTGGGGGAACTAGACAGCTACATGCAAAAAAAAAAGAAACTTGAGCACCAACTTACACCATATACCAAAATAAATTCAAGGTGGATAAAAGACTTAAATATAAGCCATGACACCACTGAAGTCCTAGAGGAGAACATTGGCAGGAAAATCTTGTATATTTCATGCAGCAACATTTTTACTGATATGTCCCCTAGAGCAAGGGACATAAAGGAAAGAATAAACAAATGGGGTCCCATCAAAATAAAAAGCTTTTGCACGGCTAAAGAAAACAGTATTAAAATAAAGAGAACCAACTGTATGGGAAAACATATTTGCCAATGATACCTCAGACAAGGGCTTAATCTCCAAAATATACAAAGAACTTACATGACTCCACTCTAAGAAGACAAGCAACCCAATTAAAAAGTGGGCAAAGGACTTGAACAGACACTTCTCCAAGGAGGACATACAGAAGATCCAGAGACACATGAAAAGATGCTCAATATCACCAGCCATCAGAGAGATGCAAATTAAAACCACAATGAGATACCACTTTACACTGGTCAGAATGGCCATCATAAACAAAGCAACAAACAACAAGTGTTGGAGAGGCTGTGGAGAAAAGGGGATCCTAGTTCGCTGTTGGTGGGATTGCAGACTGGTACAACCATTATGAAAAACAGTATGGAATTTTCTAAGAAAAATAAAAATGAATATGCCTTTTGACCCAGCAATTCCACTGCTAGGATTATATCCTAAGAACGCTGAAACACCAATCCAAAAGAACCTATGCACCCCAATGTTCACAGCAGCACAATTTACAACAGCCAAGAGATGGAAGCAACCTAGGTGCCCATCAGTAGTAAATGAATGGATCAAAAAAACTATGGTACATTTACACAATGGAATTCTATGCAGCAGAAAGAAAGAAGGAGCTCCTACCCATTGAGACAGCATGGATGGAACTGGAAAGCATTATGCTGAGTGAAATAAGCCAGGCGGTGAAAGACAAATACCATATGATCTCACCTTTAACAGGAATCTAGTCAACAAAACAAGCAAACAAGCAAAATATAACCAAAGATGTTGAAATAGAGAACAGGTTGACAGTGACCAGAGGGGGAGGGGAGGGAATTCCAGGAAGGAAGGGGAAGGGTTTGAAGGAACTAGTATAAAGGACACATGGACAAAAACTAAGGGGGGTGGAAATTGAAGGGAGGTGGGGAGCATTGGAGGGGGGGTGGGCTGGGATGGGAGTAAAAGTCAGAAAACTGTACTTGAACAACAATTAAATTTAAAGAAAAAAAGAATTAGGTAGTTTATATAGTTCTTGAAGTTTATTTGAAAAACCCCTAATCTTTCCTAGAAGTTTTTTTTAGATTTAAATTTTTTTATCTTTAGAGGGGAAGGGAAGGAGAGAGGGAGAGAAATATCAATGTGTGGTTGCCTCTCATGTATTCCCCTGCTGGGAACAGGCCTGCAACCCAGGCATGTGCCCTGACTGGGAATTGAACCACAACCCTCTGGTTTGCAGGCCCACACTCAATCCACTGAGCTTCACCAGCCAGGGCCAGAAGTTTTATTACATGTATTAGACTTCACCTTTTGATGATTAATTTTGTTCTTTAAAACTTTGTTGGAAAATTATTCAGTTAAAAAAAAACATTTCTTCTTAAGGATAGGGACACCACTGGCAATAAAGAATTCAAACATTCACTGGACTTGTAACGTTTTAAACCAATTCTGTATGTGCAAAAAAAAAATAAATTAAAATTGCCATAGCCTCACTCTGTTAATAATTCTATGATCATTAATTTAAAAATTCTTCGTATCGCCAGAATTCACCAAAGTGAAGCCATCGAGTCCCGTCAGATGCAGGCACCGTGTTTCCCTATCACCGCTGACTCTCCCCCAAATGCCTTCTAGGCTGGTCCCAAAGGAGCACTCGGTTTCATGAACAATGAACTGTGTCACTTTTTCATTCCTATATTTTTCCAAGGAATAATTTTTTCATCAAGGAATACGTATCAATAGTAGGTAGACTTATATTTAAATCACAGAAATCTTTCAAGGCCATTAGTATAGTAATAATCTTGCTGAAATTTAAACCTAGAAATTTGGAACAAGTACCAGCAGTAAATCTTGCTCATGTCCAAAATTAAGAAAAATTTTAGAATTTTAACCTACGTTCTGTCTCTTTCCAAATGGCCTACACCTACAGTGTTCCAAATCAAATAATAGAGGAAAAAAGTTATGTCCAGAATGAAAACGTTTCCACACTTTTGTAAAACAATGTTCACGCGTGACAAAAATACAAATATTAAAAGTGCACTGGGCCTGCTGGCAACACATGAATGTGCACTTCACGGTTACGTCACGGCTACGTGCCTCCTAGGTGACCAGGGGTCAACCGTTTACACGCAGATCTGCAATGTTTCAGTGCTTTCACTTCAGTCTCTTCTGGGACATTTGCACTTGGCAACGCATGCAAATTATTTGGCAAAATAAACCGCATTTGTTTTTTTTTTTTTTTTTTCTGAAAGCAAAGAAGCCCTGACTGGTGTGGCTCAGTGGGTTGGGCACCATCCCACAAACAAAAGGGCCCTGGTTCACTTCCTGGTCAGGGCACAGGCCTGGGTTGTGGGATGCGACCCCAGTTAGGGGTGTGTGAGAGGCAACCCATTGATACTTCTCTCACACTGCTGTTTCTCTCCCTTTCTCCCTCCCTTCCCCTCTCTCTAAAAGTAAATAAATAAAATCTTAAAATAAGAAAAAAGCAAATAAAATGCTGTGAGACCAAAATTTTCCTTTGGACAGGAAGTACTTTGTACTTCTCTTCCGCTTTCTGAATTTTCTATTTACACAACTAACAATACTTTTACAATTAGAAAATAAAATTGTGATCTGAAAAGGAATAAAAACAACCCCTTGCATATACTGTTACTCATTTGATAAAAGTATCAAAATAGCTTTCTCCTAAACCAAGTTAAATGCTGATGACACAATTTAAGTGGGAAAAGAACTATGAAAACCAGAGCTCAAGATAACCCTAAGTTGCAATTTAAAAAAATTCAGAGCAAGAAAGCAATTATTGATTCATCCCAAATGTTCATAATTAATGGTTATGTGTGTTCCTGGAGTTATTTTTAAAAACTCTTTCTACAATTAAAACCCACAGTAGCTTCTGCAACCATTTAAATTCCATGACTATCACTCACAAGGCTGCAACATAAAAACTCCATAATTAGATTTTAAAAGTGGTTTAGTGGGAAAAGGGGAAATAGTAAGATGATGGTTAAAAACTGAAAGTTGAAATGTGAGTTTAAGTTTCACAAGGATAAATTCATATGATTTTTATCTATTCTCTGAGATTTATTCATAATCAATGAAAACACTCTTTCATTCATAAAAATAAATTCTCCTTTGCATTTGCTTATACAGTGGGGGGCTTGGAAGACTTCATTTATCTCATTGTAAAACTTATGTGACAATTAATTTTATTTTTAGAATTCTTCCTGAATTATAAAAGGCCAAGGTTTACATTTTTGGTCTGAAAAAAGTTCAAGTACAACTCAGCCATAAAGAAAGATAAAATGCTGCCATTGGCAGAAACATGGATGGACCTTGAGAGCATTACAGTATCTGGAATAGGTCAGATGGAACAGGACAAGAACATATGACTTCACCCATTTGTGGGATATAAAACAAAAAGCAACAACTGGACAAGCAAACTCATAGACACAGTCGATAATACGGTGGTTACCAGAGGGGAAGACTGCTGGGGAGAGAACGAAGAGGGTAAGGAGGGTCAAACACACGGTGGCGGAAGGAAACCGGACTTTAGGTGGTGAGCACACAGGGGAATATACAGATGATGGCGTTTCAGGTGCAAAGGTCACACCTGAAACTTACATACTGTTATTAACAACGTTACCCCTCCAATTCAATTAAAAAACAAACAAACAAGAATTAAATCAAGTACATATCTTCTTTTTTTAAAATGACACATTTAATTTATTGGATAGATCAATACATATATATATAATTCAGGCCACTAAAATTATTTACTATATATTAGCACACACAAACTAGAAGAAATTTTTTTTGCTTCCATTTAGCTTAAATACCTAGACTCCAAACTTTGAAAAAACAGCCAAATGACACTCGTGTTTACATACTTTATAAGAGCTGTGTCATGGCTATCACATCTGTGTCTTTCCTATTCTTTTCGTTAGTGCTACCAAGAAAAATAAGGGTTTGAAGAGAAAGAAAAGAGCATGAAGACCAGCCACCATGAGAAGTGTGGTCTGTATATATTGTCTTCCTTCTCACTATGTGGGCTCCACTACCCGAAAGAAATAAAAGGAGCAGAGCCTCCCAGCGGCAAAAACTATGGAAAACCTGAGGCAATAAGGTAAAAATTAAAGCAAGGGAATAGAGTCCACAGAGAGAAAATTAGACTAAGCATCGAGCAAATAGAAACTTAAAGAAACATCCTTCTCATAAGTAATTTGCCACCAGCAGAAAGCACTTTAAAAATCAATGTCTCAAACAGGCAATTAAAAAAGTTGCAAAAAACAAAAACCAAAAAACTAACTAAAAAAAATCAAGGACTATTAAGTTCTCCTAAGAAACTCAAGGGAAGAGATAAAAAGAATGCTTCCATCTCCAGGAAGTTCCCCAATGAAGGCAGCACACCATACAGATATATAGATCATACAGATAAATTATATGAGCAATGCAATTAGGTATTAAAACCAGAAAAAAATAAATGGAAAATTAGGTACAAAGAAGCTTCCACCTTACCACTAACTGTAACCTATTCTTGGCTCAAAACCAGATTTTCAAGGGGATTTCCATTGGGTTCAAACTGTCCTGCACCCCACTTCACACCAAAGAGCCCTGCTTTTCCACTCTCACCTCCTCCTCTTCCTACTGGCCACACGGGACTCTCACGGGACAAGACTTCATGTTCAAACCACTGTGTCCTTAACCCTGAGTCCCAGGAGGTTTTCTCAGGGATTTCTCATTCAGAGGGACACACAGGAGGTTAGAAAAAAACCCCACACCCCTCCCACATCCCACTTCTGTCCTGTGACAACTGCTACTACGGCATAAATTTTGGGGTTGACATCACCGTGAATTCTTCATACCTTCAGGTTATACAGTGTCAAGGTACCTGTTTACGTGTTTGCCATGGCAGAGAGCGAGATGAGAGAGCGTGTGTGCACGCACCAGGCAGAGTCTAGCCCGTTTCTTACGAGGACAATACTGGACTTACTTTGGGGTAGTCCAATTCAAAGAATGTTTCCAGGTTGTTGATGAGGTTGGGGTCCACTCCTTTCAGTGGTTTCAGAAGAGACACGCCTGGGAGCTTGCTGTACGGCTGCTTGTCTGTTGCCTTCTTATTGAGGTGCAGTCGCCTAAAAGCAAAGGTCGCATGCATTATTTCTGGAGCCTATCTTAGTGCCAAATCTGCATCATAGGTACCAGGTTGTCAAGAACTGCTAAATTTTACGTTAAATTATTTTTCATGGGCATTCTCCTATAAGGATAACTGAAAATGAAAGCCAGTAGAACCAGGGAAGCTTCCAGTTTAAGAAAAGCAGAACTAAGCGGAAGGAAGAGTCCAGTGAAGGTGGGAACTGAAGACCGTTGTTCACCGCTGTCCTCTCAGTGCCCAGATCTATGCCAGGCAGAGACGTTTGATAAACACATGGTGAGAAGCGAACAACAGCGCGAGCCCACCCGCACATTAACTGCCCTTCCTCCCACACTGCCAACAAACTGGCCAAAGAACATAAAAATAGTGTGTGTGTGTGTGGGGGGGCGGTCCTCATCTACAGCATGAAAATATGAAAGGGTAACCAGAAAAAAACTAGAAAATTTGCACAACAGTCCAGATAACGCAACTGAAGGAAGCACCAACCCGCCCACATGGCAAGCAAGAAAACGGGACAACCAGCAGAACCCCCCACAGTCACAAGCTCCCAATGGCAGGGGTGGCTCGGGGGAGGTTGAAATAAGGAAAAAATCTCAGGGATGAGAAAAACGGGCACTCGTGACACTGGAAAACACAGCGGTGCCACCAGTCCACAGAGATGTTGGTCCGGCTCCAGGGCCTTGCTCCACCAGGCTCCTAAGGAGGGCAGTCATGCCTTTAGCAAAGAGGATGTGCCCCAGGGAACGCCAGGGTGTCACATAAAGAAACAAAATGCCACTCAGCAGAGTGGTCAGGAATCTAAAGGAAGTCACCAAGGGCCACCCCTTCTTTCTCATAAGCAAGACTCCAAGCCCTCCGCAGAGGCTGGACTAACCACAGGCCACCTGAGAGCTCTCTCAAGACACACATTCTTTCACATTTTAATATCTGCAATCAACGGCATTTGTACAATCGCTGGCAGCCAGATGGCAGTCCTAACTTACCAGCATGAAAACAAACCAATGAGACCTTGCTAGACAGTCAAGAAAACACCAGCATGAATGCATCTTAGGGTCAATGAAATGCACTATTCATCCATGCATAAGTCCTAGAAGTACGCCAGTACTGTCAGCCACCACTGGCAGAGATGTACCATGGTAAACGCCTCACCTCTCAGGGAAGGCCAGACAAACAAGCATCTTTACAGAAAGGAAACAGGTTCCCACCCGTGGAAAAAAACTTTAAACCAATGAGAAATTTAAAAGATGCTGTGTATCAATTTCAAATCCACGACACCAAATGTCAACGGAGCACCGCCCACGGCAGGGCTGCTCAGTGAGGGCCCGTCCACTCGGTGCTTCTTCCTGGTCTGCGAGGAGAAGCAGTTAGGAACTGTCATAGCAATCTGACTTTGCCAGGCCATCAGTAATCAACCACGTAATCAGTAATTTGTTTTTACTGTGGTTTACCAAAGTATCAGTCCATGACAGATTGGAAAATTTTCAAGAAGTGACCCTTTGTCACAGACAGGTTGGAAAATGCTGATCTACGGAGCTGATCAAGAGGTGGGACAGAGGTTGATCCATGATCTAAAATTTATATAGCCACACGAATGACCGCTATTCCATGTCTAACAAAATAGCAGACTAGATGTTAGAGAAACCAACCCGGTACAGAACATCTAGACTGCTGGGGGAGGGAAGTTATATTACATACTTAACTGACTGAACTGGTAGTACAGCCATCACTTGGTTCAAACCACAAACATTAAGAACTTTGTGAGTCTTCCTGCCCCTGTTCCCCACCTGCCTCATTCCTCCCATCACCTCTGCAGCATCATTAGTGTCTTGCTGATCCTCCCAGAGGTTTTCTTAATACACATACAGGCCAACACACACACAACTATACAAATCCTTACACAGTATTTATACTTTCCTCTTTTTAAATACAAGTGCACTAAAAGCATTTTTTAAACACAGGACTGAACTGTTAGGAAAAGAAAGGATAGCCTCCAAGGAGGAGAAACCTCTAAGTCAATGAGCGCCACCACCGTGGCTCGCCCAGGGCCACCTGTTGGTGCTTGACGACCTAGAGATGGTGACGGGCCTGAGACAGGAATCACAGGAAATCTGTTCGAAGAGCCCTGTGTAAAGATGGAACCTCTGCAAGGCAAAGTATGGCTCTGGAGCCCCAGAGGCAAACTGCCTGTGTTGCTTGAACAAGCCCAACACTTGGAATGAGAGAGACCATCACAGGTGACCCCGAAGAGATGAAAAGAACCACGTGATGTTGAGAGGTGAGAATTATGATCCTTGACATTTGAAACTCAATAGATAGGTGAAACAAAAGACTGCCAATTTAAAAAGGCACCTGGAACCTAGATTTGAAGAAATGATCCAGAATGCAGCCCAGAGAGAATGAAATGTAAAGATGGTGAAATCATCAAAGAGTTTGAGAATTTTTATCCTTCGGCCCCACTGTATGATCGATCACTGTAAGTGCTGCTAAATTGTATCAAAATGCACCTGTGCGGTGAGGACCAATTACAGAGAAACCCGGCCCACTGACTGACGCATTGCAATGGGCAATGTTTTAGATTAAAGGCCAGGATAATTTAAACAGTGCTGCAAAGTCAAGTGCTGGTCCTATTTCTCCTTTCTTCACCTTCTTCATGAAGACATTTCACTTTAAATGCTAATACAGACAGGTCTCCTACCCCTCAAAGAGCTTTTCATATCAAGCGTGCAGTATTTTACCAAAGACGCATTCTGACTCACCGTCAACAATGAAGCCCTCTCCAGGTTCACGGTGAAGCAACTGATGACGGTCCCCTTTGCCTGGTAGCTCAAAAGGGGCCTGAGTGGTACTATCCTCCACAAGGGCCAGTTTAATGAGTGACTCTGGCCGGGCCCTACAGGGCTCACGGCTTTTCCCGCCAGCTTTGACTTCAGTATCTCAGGTCATGGTTTCTGCATCCCCTACACAGTGTGAACTTGAGCCTACTGCAGTGCACCCACGCGCTGCCCAGGATTTCTCGTGGGTGCCCATTTCTGCCTTTAGCTTGGACCGGTGTGCTTGCTGCTCTCTTCTAGGATGCTGGGTACTTCCTCGGTTTCAGGTTCTCTACTGGGAGTCCAGGTCCACCTTCCTATCACTCAAGTGGCTTACAGCCTTGACCTTTTGGGGTGGGGGGATACTTCTAACCGATGCATAACATATATACAGTGAAATCACAGAAAGCATGCAGCTCAATGGATTTTCTCAAAGTAAAACATCACGCAACTAGTACCCAGGTCAAGAAACAGAGCATTGTTACCAGAACCCCAGGAGTCCCTGCGTGTCCCCTTCTACTTATCCCCCTGAGGGGTAACTACTGTCTTGAATTCCAACACCACAGCCCAACTTTGCTGGTTTTAACATTTTAATCTAGACAGAATCCCATAGGACATGCTCATTCAGGAGATTCATCTTTGTGGTTACATGCACTCACATTTCAGCACAGCATTCCCTGTATTAATACAACCACGATTTACTTACCTACTTCTATTGACAGACAGGTAGGTTATTTCCAGTGTTCAGCCATTATATCGGCCCTTATTAATAGTCTGCAGTCTTACAGTCTTGTCTCTGTCCTCATGTAAGTATCAAAACCCTGGCCTCCCCACTCTCGCCACCCAGAATTTCAACATTTGAACAAGGTGAAGAGACAGGGACTGTTCATTCTCACACCTGGAACAATTTTTTAAAAATCAGACAAAATAGAGGAAACCACAGTTTCTAAGATACTGGCGATCGGGTAAAAAGGGACAGTGACTCCTAAGACGCAGAAAACAAACAAGCAAGCCGCCCTCCCAGAACCCCATCGTCCTGCTGTAAGGGCTTGTTCACGCCACAGCAAAGGGGAGGAAAGGCCAGGCAGGACCCGGCAGGCTGCCTAAACTGAAGAGACGGAGCTGAAAGTCTAGGAATACACAAGCGTCCAGCAGCCGGCAAAGGTAAGTGCAGAATGCCTGACATCTAATAAAGAACTACCAGGCATGCAAAGAACCAGGAAAACACAACCAATAACAAGGAGGAAAATCAGTAATTAGAAACCCTCAGAACCTGTCACCGGGATTAAAATGAGCAGACAAGTCCAACTCACTGCTTGGTCTTCTCTTTTCATTTCTGGGGCCTGGAGATTTTCCTTTCATATTTGCAGGCTGTGTGTGTGTGTGTGTGTGTGTGTGTGTGTGAGAGAGAGAGAGAGAGAGAGAGAGGGAGAGTAACCTTCACAGCATTTTCATCTGTTCAGACCAGAAGTGATTCTCATCTGTGCATTAGACACTTCCTGTTCAGAAGCACTTCTCTATAAGCTTCTATCAATGCAGTGTGAAGCAGACTCTAAAGAAACTAGGTTTAGACCACTTTTGAGAGTGGACAGAAGGAAGCGCCTGAGTTTTCCTGGGTGCTGGCCCTTTAAGACTTCTGTTCCCCCAGGTGGTCCACCAACCAGCAGCACAGATGTCACCTGGAAGCTAGAAATTCAGACTCTGGGCCCCAGCCCCAGAACTACCGAAACTGAACCTGCATTTTCACAAGATCTCCAGGTGATTCACAGGCACATTCGACCTTGAGAAGCACTGCTTTAAGACTAATCTTTGCTATATAAACTCGTGCTTGAGTTTACTGACGAGGCTGAAAAGGCCTGCAGCCCATCCCATAGGCAAAAATAACCATAAAAGACTACCAGAAGGAAACAAGGGTTATTTCTGTATTTTCAGAATAAAAAAGAGAATAAATTAAGAGAATAAAGTAGAGGGAGGGGGGTTGGAAAGCGAGGCAAAACACAGGGTCCAGCAGAAAAAAGGCCTTCTCGAGTGTGGTTGGCAGGGCAAAAATATGGGTGTCGTCACTTACAGTTTTAATTTGAACATTTTACCTGAAATGTCATAGGGTGTGCTTGAGTGTGGCACTGTTATGCTACAGATTTACACCCTTATGATTGTGTAATAAAAGATT